TAGTCAGACCTCTGACAACATTCGTGAGGCGGGAGCAGTTTCTGCTTCTTCTATTCTCTACCTTCTACTATCAGATTTCTTACTGAAAATGTATCTAATGAGTTTCAGTACTGCTTAAGGTGTTTATGTGTCTATACATGAGCATAAGTGGAAAACCCATTGATACTGAGAGAGCCCATGACATGCTGATAGAGCCCATGAGCAAAGAGCATCGCTGCTTGCATTACTGACTGCACATTCCCTTTTACAAGAGGCTTAGAAATGCCAAGCCATTTCAACTGATGGCATCATAACAATAATTACATTCTGAACTTTACAGTTGACAGCATTTCTCAAATCTGTTCATAGTGATGTTAAGGACAAGGCCAGCTTTGGTACATGTATTGCTTTGTACAACTCAATAGGTATAAAAACTGGAATTGCTAGGTAATAAAGCATAACAAAATTACTGTCTTCATGGGGTATAACACAGATAAATCACATAAACAATTTTGTCCAGATACTAAATGTAAATTATGGCAGAGTTATTCTAGTTATTTTCGACAACAAGCATCAATCATCTCTTTTGATCGATACACGATCACAGACCTGATGAGAGCTTGAGCATCTTCCTTTCAGGCTAAATAGAAGAAGAAATTAAACACCAGTTTATGAAAGGGTAGTGAGGAACAACTGGAGGCTACTGCCCAAGAAAATGGCTTTAATTACAAAGTATGAGCCCGACTAAGTCCTGTGATGTAAGGAAGCTGGGGATTTCTTTCAGTGACTTAAATGAAAAAAAAGGACTGTGGGATGTATGCAGATATGACTGTGTTCCTGGGGAAAAGCAAAGAGACTCCTTTCTTCTTGGGTTCCCTTTCCACAGGCATGGAATGAGCTGGAGTAAAACCTGGAACTAGCAAAGAAAATAACTCCCTGCTCTGGTTTCTATTGTAGCAGGACAACGGAGCTTTCCGTACACCATTTGTGATACACAGGATTATACCAACGAAATGTTTGTATTCTTGGAAAATTATTTGCAGCATTTTTAATTTCGGAAGAAATTCTGAATTCTCTTAGCTCAGCATCAAAATCTTTTTAATATATTTGTCCCTTTGCCTTGTGCTGACTTTTCATCACCATACTGACCAAGAGCTAGAGACATGACTAATGTGTTCAGGGTTGCTGTAGCTTTGAAGGTGTCCAGGTAAGAGCTGATACATTTATACTCTTGAGCTGTCTTTAACACCTTGGTTTAAAGAGAAACTGCCTACAAGTAAACCCAAAGAGCATTGGCTTGGCTAAGCACAAGTTGAATCCCAAGGACTTTTATGGAACAAATGAGGTTGAAAAAAAGAATGTGCAGTCAAAAAGGAATACTTACTATGTAGTCACAATTAATAATCTCTTATACCTTCTTTGTTAAATGAAGCGATAATGTGTTTAAATCCTCTGGGAAAAGGGAGCTGTCTGTATGCTTTTACATACCACTTCTCCTCATAGAAAACAAGTCAGGATGCTCGTGCCTCCGGTGACATTCTGGGAAAAATCATTCGCTGGGCATCTGCGGGGCCACCACTGTCCCTGAAAACAGGTACCCCGAGTCACACCTGAGTGCAGCAGCAGGTGCCGAGTAATTGGCCTCCAGGTTCGAAGGCTGAGCCTGATGAAAGATCCTGCCTGGGCTCTGCTTATTATGCAGAGGCTCAAAACATCCCAAGACCCTCTAAAGGCAACCTGCTGCCTGGCAGGTGGGAAAAGACATGTAAAGGAGACAGTTCTGCAATGGAGATGAGAGTATTTATGTTTGCAGACATACTCTAAAGCATATCTCTTTTCCTCTAGCCTCAAGATACCAGGTGAAATTTGAGGTTCAAATATTTGGCTCCATGTTCAGGGGATTCTGTAGGATTTCTGCATCTGTTCGGTTTGTAGCTGGAGAATCTTCCCCCCACCTAGCAAACCCCACCACCCACACAGCAAATAAATGTCTTATGGCACTGACTGGTACACCGTCCATAATACTATATAATAGCTAATGCGTAATGTTTGGGGATAGCAACACCTCATCACAGATAGTAAAGAGGATAGGAGAACAATTAATATCACTACCACTCGCTAGCCAGCAGAGCCCAGTGTGGAAATCCAAGGCATGCTTCCCAGGGGAATGATTCCAAAAGAAGAGTGATGACTCTGATGGAGCCCACAGTATCCATGGGAGATGCCGTGATGAAGTCTCCTGAAGTTGACAGTGAGTAAAGGACAGTTGGACTTACTCAGCCCAAACATGCCTGCTCTGAAATGCATCTTTTGCTTGTCAGTTTTCATGCCCTGCCTCTATGTCATGCCAAGGACAAGCTGAAAGCTGCAATATAAATAAGGTGTCTGTTGGAGAAATGTGTTTCTTGTTATATGCTTTATCAACCAAAATCAAGTCAGCAATTGAAGTGGTGCTCATGACAACACAGGTAACATCTCCCAGATGAGCACTGAATGCTTCGTTTACATTGCAAAGGATGAGAGGTGGGTGTCAAGTGAAACCAAACTACCCAAATAGGGAACTGAGCTGAAGAGGAGCGATTGGTATTCTAAAAATGGGATCTTTTTGTTTCACTTCCAGGACAATGCCAAGAGTGAAATATTGCATTTTCACCAAAAGAGGATAGCAGTGTGCAATATACCACTGGTTTCATTAGTTAAAAGAAGATTGCTTCTGCTTTTGATATTCCCTTAAGCCAGTAATGTGAGGAACAATTAGAATAACTCAGAAATTGAAAAGTTTAGTGATGTTGTAGTCAACAGTGTGAATATTAGTTGGTTTATCCCCTCCTTCAGAGAAATACACCAAAATTAATCCTGAGTAACTATCAAGAACAAAGACAAGTTTCAGGTGTATCTCAATCATGATTTTTTTTTTTTTTAATTTTTGTAACTTCTATTTCCAGTTTTATGTGATTAAATATTGCAGTTGGCCAGGAGACACTTCACTTGAGTTGCTCTTAACTTGTGTATAACAATTTGTTATTGTTTTTATAAAGATGGCTCAAACTGAGCTGATTGATGCGCTGTTACTCCAAGAGCAACAAGTTTACTCTCTGTGATGTCTATTTTTAGGGATAAAACTTAAAAGTCAAATACACATTTTCTAATTAACCATGTGTGAAATCAACCAGGTTGAATTAGGGGGGAATTTCACTGGATGCCTATAATTAATCAAAGTACAAAGTATAGATAAAATAACAAACATAAGGTGTTAGGGCACTGAGAGGATCTTTATTTATAAGCAGCATTTAACACCATTTAATTCATGAGTTCAGTTTCTGCTGACCATCTGTCATAGCTGCTGTCAGATTCACAAGCCTCGTGAACTTTGCCAGTCCTCGTGTTAGACTTCAAAAGATGCTGCACCCGCCCACCACTATCACACGGATCCATAGACCATATTGTGGCAGCGTGAAACAAAGAGTGGGTTTGGCAGGAATAGAAGAGGCTGCCCCTGTGTTTCAGTTTTTTCTCCTTCCAAAGTAGCAGGCATTTAATTTGATTAACTGGTGACTAAAGTCACTGTTGCTCGCAGAGGTAGCATCAGGTTCAGCATCAGATGCCGCCTTGGCAATCAGAATATTCTCACTCAGGGCCATTTGAGAAAAGGTGGGAACTAAACCCCTGTTGGAAGACTGTACTCTCATCTCAAACAAGGCTTGTAGCAAGACCAAGTGAAATGCATTAGATATTTCCAAAATAGCTTGTATGGCATAGAAGTCAGGAGCTTTTAAAATATGGATTATGAAAACCTTCTTAGAAACCTGAAAGCAAGTAAGGCAAGGGACACTCATGAGCTGTATCTATGACTTTCATCGATGCAGCTTATCACAGCTGATTGCAACAAACTTCAAAAGATATTTATCAAGTATTAATTCTTTTTAAATTCTTTTTAAGAAATGTGGGAACATGGTAGTCCCTATCAATTCCACTTTTTGTATTCAGCTCACAGACTTACATATTTTTAAGGCCTGTGGATCTTGACGTGCATATTTGTCACATTGACACAGAGGTTGTTGCTAAGACTCCTTTCCATAGTCTCCTGTGACTATCTAGCAGCTCTGAGAAGAGGTTTGTTAACTTGTGTTCTCGCCACTGTCCTCACACTGACTGAGGAGGGGCTGTTCTCACCTCTGTTGAAGAGTATGTCCATCTGGTGTTGGTACAGCTGAGCAGTACAACAGCATTTTGCTACAGGGTGCAGAACATTGAGTTTCAAATCTCTGTTTGCAAACTTCCTTGCTTTCTTGAAAATTCATGTTCTGAGCCAAAATTTCCAAGTGTGTTTCAGATTCGGCGTCAAAAGAAAGTAGAAATGTACAAGAAGCATCCCTTAGGTATGTGCAGACATAGATAGCATGTTAATAACTGTGGTATCATTTAGTAGCTCGCTTTTTACAACATTTTAATAATTTTATTATCTTAATCCCGTTCTTTGATGTTTCATATAAAATTATTGAGTAGATCACAGCTTCCTTCATAGTATTGGTGACCTTCTGTTACTGACCTCTGATCTGCTTATTATCAAGAATAAAGCTTGGGTACATTTTGCAAACACCACTGATATATGCTATGCTTTCTACCTCTCTTTAGCGTTCTTTTCTTTTACTGCCCTAGTGAACATGAAAAATACCTTGTGAAATAAAAGACTCATGGAATCCATAGGAGCTAGTACATAGTCTGAGGAGGCACATGAAGTTGGAGGTAGCTTTTGTTTTGAGCTGTTTGAGGGGGCACATTCCTGCGACTGTTCGCTTTTCCCCTTGGCAAATCTCCCACGAGAGTTGTGGTAAGCTGGATGCAATCATTCCTCAAAATCTGCTCCGTTAACATATATGTCGAGCTGGACCAGCCAGTACAGTTTTATTGTCTATACCATGCCTAGAGTCTTTGCCTACATAGCTTCAAGCGTGCCATCTCCTGGACTTCCCCACCTACACTGAATGCGTATGAATTACAGGTTGGTTCCTGCACTATAGGTGGACCTGTGGCAGCCCAGCAGCCCTTTCCACATCGTCGAAGGTACGGTCACCGACGTGCGAGTACCACAGAACACGTCCCGAAGTCTGCTACCCTACCTCCAGCAAGCAAACATCCAGTACACGTAAGCCTGTGCTTTGCTTTCTGTGCCTCGCTCTGGAGATCTGGCCTCTAAGGCAGGCTGCATCTACCAGGCCAAGTATGCTTGAAAATACGTCCCACATCATAGCAATTAGACTGGCAGACAGCTAGACATTGTCAAGCAAACAACCATTTTAATGGGAGAACAGAAAATCTCCTGTTGTGGTCCCACAGGCAGGCAGTTTTAATTAAATGTCCTCCTTTGGAGTCAAGCTGAAGTGTTTTCAGTGTATATGAAATCACATCTGTTAAGAGAGCGGTGGTAATTACTAATTCTACAGCCTGCTTTGCCTCTCTCTGTATTTAACAGGAGCTAGGTTTGTTTACAAGTGTGCTGCAAACGCAGAGGCAAGCCTTCTTCATGAATTATAAAGGAATGTACTAGTTCTGTTTTATAACTCGACGTTCCTCGTGACCCAACGCAAGTCATACTGAACAAATACACTCTAAGGATCACGTATCATTTATAGCGCTTCTTAAAAGCATTCAAGACAGTTTTGGAGTATACTTGTTATTTCATATTTATCAATATAATATACTAGACAAGAGTAATGATCTTGTCATTAAAACCTTTTCAGTGAGATGCCTAAGTATCTGAATAATCAACAGATGAGCTATTTGCATTCTCCAACATTTGCCGAATAAAGCTCTACGTGAGGCTATTTATACTTATTTCTCGTGAGAAATGGATCGCAGAAATCATATTGTATATTATATGTACTCTTACCAAATTCCATTTTTATTATAACAATGGTCTCTTATTCACCTGTCATTCTAAAATTACAAAAACAAACATAAGGAAATTAATTACGCAGGCCCGGTAGCTGAAGCTCAGAATGACTTTCATGTGGATTCAACTGCTTCAGTTTTGTTTGTGTTTAAAAATCAGATGGGATTTTCTGTAATTGTTTTCCTGTGCTCATACAAAAAAAAGTCCCCTAATTACTGTGCCTGGCAGTTGTATTCACGTCTGCTGCTGTTCCTGCTCACAGTAATCACCTTTAATGACATGACAGAAGGCCATTTTATATGTGGTATAAACACTCCCTATACTTGAAGACCTTTACTTAGGTTGCAGAGCAGAGTGCGCACGGGCGAGGACTGCGAGTGCAAATCGTCTCTCCAGTTTACCTGAAACAATGGGCTACAAACACTAGGACAGCATTACATTCATTTTCCACGGGCAAAATTTCCTCTCTGACACCGGGCCCGCAAGATGTGTGCACTTAGAAGGAAGCTGGGCGGCATTTTGTCAGCTCCAGGCTGTTTCTTTGCTCTCCTTTTCGTCTCCCCGCTGCCCGTTTCGGACTCCTTGCCTGCTGGCTCCCAGGCATCAGAAGCAAAACCCTGCAAAGCCTCGGACGAGCATGTGCTTGTCCTGAGAAGCCTCCTGAGATCTGTAACTCCACAAGAGCCGGGAGGATTCGCCATGAGAACGGCAACAGCTATAGTCGGGGAGCGGCAGGAGCGGGGCTGCAGCCCAGCTGGGGGGACCACAGCCCTGAGCCGGAGTGCCGCGCCACAGCCAAGGGGCTGAGATGCTGGCAAGGTTTCATACAGCTCCTTTCCTCATGGCTGTTTTTCACACTTTTTTTTTTTTTTAATTTTATTTTTGACACGCTATTCGCAAAGGAGTCAAACTGCTGCATCCCTTTTGGAACTGGAAAATCTGAGGCAAACAGCATGTAGAAGTTCAGCCTGATGGAGTGACACTTGCCTAAATTATGACAGATTTCTAAAGACGGGAAGCATTAAGCAGCCCTAATAATGAACAAGGTCACCAGCCCTTGCCTGTAAGACAGGCTTATCTGTCCCAGTGTTTGACTTTATGACAAGGAGACGGTCATGAAAATAAACTCTTGCTGCACCAAGTTGCCTGGGTTGTAAGTTCGCTGGCAACGAAGCCACTTAAGTTGTGTTCAGACCTGAGGGACTTCCAGAGGCTTTGTGTTATAAGCACACATGGTACACAGTCATTTGAAAGTAAAGAAAGATTATCGAATCTCATTTGGAGTACAAACGCATAACCCATCAGGAGTTGTGAAATTAAATCTATTACTGTAAAAGTGAACAAAGAGAGCTTGATCCTGGTAGGTACTTACACTAACCAGAATTCAGCAAAGCAGGCAAGTATTTTTTTACCCTATTAGATGTCCAAATGACTTGAATAAAACCACTGCTTTAATCTAACTACAGGCTTAAATGCTTTATAATACTAGTCTTAGAGTATATAGCACTTTGCAAGACTATAAGCACTTACATTGCTTAATAAAAGCTGATGAGGTAGAACAATGTAACTCCTAATAATGCAATTACTTCACTCATACATTTGAAGAATGTGGATAACCTTTACTTTGATACATATATGTAAATAGACCTATTATCTTTGAGGCGTCTGCTGCACAGCTGAGTTAGGATCAGAGTGAATGCAGTTTTTTTCCATCTTTTTCCAATTATTGCAGCTTATGCCTGTAAGTCTTTGAAAGGTTGAATATGACCACCATTTTACAGGAATGATGAATTAGTGGCATGGTGATTACACATCGCCATGCTTCAGGAGAAGGTGGTTTACAAGGATGGCCCTCAGTTTTACAGTGATGTTGTTACTGATGTCAGTGACACTATTCCCAGCTCCTGCCACTGTATGATGGAAGGCATAGACACTCCAACCTCTTTGACAGAATTCTTTTCAGATGTTTTCTCTATTACCTTTTTGTGTTTGCATGATTATTCGGTTTTGCCATAAAATAGAAAGTTTTCAGCTTGAACCACTGTTCCTGTGTTTCACTCAAAGCGAACAACCTCTCACTTTTTATGCAAGCATATTTAAGTTACACTGAAGTGTTGTTTCATATTTTCCCTGAGTGAAAATAATTGGCAACCAACTATTGCAGAGTAGGTACTTGTAAACAACAAACCACACTTAAGATTTTTTCTTTGTTGTTTATTGTGTTTCAGACAGAATTATAATGCTGCCAAGTATTTCATTTTTTTGTTTTGCCTCTACAACTTGTAGGTATATGTAATGTTCCATGCCAGTACAATATTCCAAGAGAAAGTATGTGCATGTTTTTCTAAGCCTAAAAATACACTTTTTTTATGCTTTAGAAATAAATTTTTTAGGATCCATGGTCATGTAGTGTAAGTGGATTATAAAGGAAGACAGCAAACGCTGCTCCATAAGCAAATAAAGGTGGCTTCTTCTTCACATTGGCTACATTATTTACAACATTCTGTTTTATTTGCTTAACAAGCTCATTGCGTTTTTTGAAGGCACTCTTACATTTCAAAGCAGCTGGAGTATTTATTTGGCATCATATTCAAATAAGCCTGAAGCACTCTATTGTCAAAATACAACAGATGAAGTAACATCTGGATGATTTAACTCCTGCTATATTTCTTCCAAATGTGATTGTTTTTCTGGTTTAGCCTGTATGTTTGACTAGTTTTTCAGTAATACAGTTATCTTTTTTCACCTAGGATTCTCATATCAGACCTACAGAAAGCGATAGAAAACCAAACTGGACTGAGATCATCTAGGAATCGAAGGTCCCTCTCTGGGTATAACTACGAGGTGTATCACTCCCTGGAAGAAGTACGTGAAAATTCATATTGTTCCTCTTATCCACTACACTGTTGTCTTTAACAGGGCTAAGATTTCACTTTCTCTACAAGTTATGGTTGCCTGTTCATCTTCATTGAATCATAGAATCATTTAGGTTGGAAATGACCTTTAAAGATCATCGAGTTCAGAAGCGTTCTAAATGTTTCTTCTTCAAAAATAGGCACCTTCTTGAAAATATTTGTTTGTTATATATTTGTAGTCAAGGCTTATCTTTACATGGAACTATCTTGGACAGCTTCTGAGTTTTGTTTTTAAAGTAGGTCTTTTACTCTGATAGAGTAAGAGATTTCAGTGAGTGATTAGTCTCACTGAGTCATTTAAGTAAGCAATATGAGCAAATGCGTAAGTATTTGCACAAGAGGCCCAAAGACTTAAAAACACTGAGATACAAATTCATGTGTAAGGGTTACTATCCTGGAAGATAGCTGGTTAAATGCTTTCTGTTGATTTCAGTGTGCTCAGGTACACAGTTTCACTTTACACCAAAACAAAGTCACTAGACTCAGCGTGGAGGGAGCCGCACCGCGATGACATCGGGTGCCTGTGAAATAAATCTTGCAAGCAGCGTTGAATCCTGCAGGTCAATCTGTTCGCCATTCCATGCCCTGGCAGGCAGGCAGGGACTTTCTTTCTTTATTCTGTTAATGTCTAATGGGAGTGGCAGATTAGGTCTGTCCCCAGATTTGCAATTAACAGCGAATGCATTCAAGTAATATCCAATAATAAAATAGAAAAAAAATCCCTTGTGACTGAAGGCTGCATCCAGCCTCTGGCAATAGAGCTATGAGAGCCCAATGGTAGTTCCAGTGTGAAAACAAAAACAAAACAGCAAAAGAAAAGACAAAAAGAAAAACTACAGGAAAATCCAAAAACATACAGAGGACTGAGAGCTGAGATTAATAAATGTGTTACAGTTTCTTCCTATGAAATGCAAAGATTGAAGCAACAGCTTTATTTCTGTATTTGCAGATCCAGGGTTGGATGCATCATCTGAATAAAACTCATTCAGATCTTGTTCATATGTTCTCTGTTGGACAATCCTATGAAGGGAGGCCACTCTTTGTACTCAAGGTAAAGATTAAATGGTCATTAATCAGACTGGAATTCAAGTCTGGAATAATAAACTCTGGAATCAGGGACAGACACGTTATTACTTATGTTACAGCACATACACCAGAGACGCAGGTTATCAATGTTTCCTAAGGATTAGTTGCTATGATCTAAGCATCTCTCTGAACGTCATCTTTAATGAACAAAAAAATTAAAGGCTGGAAAACTAAAAGCCAAATCCTATTGACTTTGATTGGATATGCGTGGAGATAGATTGCAGGACAAGTTCAATTAGCAGGATTTGGATTTAGGGGAATGGGAAAGTTTTGTGTTTATAGCCAATTTGGAAAGAAGTTATGCTGGAGAGGGACCCCAGAGGACTCTGGAGCCCTTCTCAGCACATGCCCCATACACTTCCTCTTTAGCTACTGACAAAAATCCAGGGCTGTGCACTCTCAACTCACGTTATGAGGACCACAAATTAAAGGGCATCAGCAAGGTGCAAAAAAATTTTCCTTTCAATATAGGTTTTTTTCATCTGCTGTTGCAGAGTTCTGAAAATTTGATTCTGCATGAGGCTATTCCTGTAGCATTGTTTTTCCTCACCCTGTTCCTTGTGATATTTAAGGATATCATTCCTCATAAAGAGGAACTGACAGATCTCACTTTTCCTGTAATTTCTTTTTTCCATAGATCAGCTTCATTGTCTTGGCACACCTGCATATCATTATCTTGGCCATACCTTTGAAAACAATATGTTTGTGTTCCTTTATGTGAGGAAATTCAAGATGGTTTAGTGTTTCTAATATTCTGTTATTTTCTCATTATTGTGTCTCACTAATGTCATGAGATCTACTGATATTTCTATGAATATTCGCACTTCAAGTTAGGTAAAAGGTCACGGCCCTACAAGAAAGCTGTCTGGATAGACTGTGGGATTCACGCAAGAGAGTGGATTGGCCCTGCCTTTTGCCAGTGGTTTGTGAAAGAGGTAAGTGTTTAATAATTTACAGCCATGCAGTTCCTTCAGTAAAATAAACATTACGTTTTTGCTAAAACCAATCTAACACATATATTAATAAGAACAATAACTAACTTTTATACCACTTTTTAAAATTTTATTTGTAAAATACTTAAGTGCTTGATAAACGAAGCTGGTAGCGACAGCCAGACACAGCTAGGCACAGGACAAAAATATGCCAGACAGATATTGGCAGAGATACAAAGTAGAGTTTTATTCCAAGATATAAAATGTGGAGATTGTAATTCTGGTAATCGTCCAGGTAAATCTGTGCCAGTGTGTACTGCTTCAGATCAGTTCAGCAATATCTTTGGTTTGAGGACTGAGATTAAGAAAGACCTTTCTCTTTTAGTTCCATAGGAATAGGAAACTAAAATCATAGACAGATTTAATCCACAATTATGGTTTTCATACTCTCTGAATATCAAGTGGTTTCCCCAATGTTTCTTTGATACTATCTTACTAGATTTATGCTCCCTTTATCTTTGATATCTAGGATCTAGCCTTCATATCCATCCATTTACTGTTTTTCAAACGATCAATGAAATCAAAGCAACTAGAATTTTGTTTTCCACTTCTCCACTACATCATTTTTTGTATATCAGCACTTAATCTCTTCTAATGTCGGATTAATCTCAAATGCACAATATGTTTGCAGGATTTTGACATTTCCCCTTGACCAGCAAACTTTTGTTCAAGAAGGGGTATTAGCTGCACAATGGAGACTATTTTGCAATGCAATTTACATAAGTCAAAGAAGTCTTGGAAAAAAAACCCAACAGATGTGCTTTGAGTATTTTTCATACCCTCTTTTTGCTGAAAATAAATGATACAAGATCTTTGCATACCAAGTTCTTCCTATAAACGCACAATTTTCTCACTTGTATCCTACCCCATCACTCTGGAATTCTACAGTGTATTAATACATCATCTGATTTAAAGGATATGTCTCTGATTTTCTGGGATCTCGCCACTCAGCAGAAAGATCCTGGCTCTATAAGTGACTTCATGAGAGTAAACCTCTATATCATCAACACCCTAAGGCGTTAGCTGAGATGATCATATAACCATGTGTGATCTTCCTTCAGAAGTCACAGCAGCATATAGAGCAAGTACAGAAATAATGAGGCCACTGCAATTTGGGTGAGCCTGTCAGCATGGCTGCTGATGCATGGGTAGGCTAACCCAGATCCAGGAGCTGATCGGTGCGCAATGATGGTGCATCTTCTTATTAGGACTTCTGTTAGTGTAAAGATGAACAAACTTGCAACTATTTCTGAGCAGCTTTCCTACCCAGGAGAACAGGCTGTAGGAAGGAAGGAAGATGTTTGGGACAGACAGGCACTGGTGGGAAAGGCTCAAGTGCATCTTCCTTACCAAGGTTTTCCTATGAAGCACTACAATGTGGCAGCAAGGTAAAAAACACAAGGTTTCTCTGTAGAGTTTATGGCAGAGTATAGGCTGTGTATGTGTGTATAAAAACCTTCTGGTTGTTATTTGAGATCCTCAGAGAGTAGCTTGCTAGTAAGACTGTTTCTCTAACTCTGTAAAAGCATTTCCCTAGGTTAAAGAAGGTTTCTGCAGAGTTCCTTGAGACTACAAGAATGTACCACCTTTGTCTGCCCATCTCGGTTGTGCATTGCCTTTGTTCACCGATGACGTGTATTTTCTTCTTTCCTTAGAGCAATATTTCAATCCAGCATTAAAGCAAAAACATCAGGATCAGCATACATTATGCTCACAGTCTCCATCATTTTGAAAATGGCTGGGAGGGCAGGAGAGACAAGACGATTAGATTGTTTGATTTAGGATATTGCTTTTCTCATTAAATGAATTAGACCTTTTTAGTAGGAACTCTGGGAAAACTGAAGGTCTCCCTGTGCTTCAAACTCTGCAATTCTCTTTTGCTGGCAAACTCCTCCCTTAAGCACCTCTGCAGCCCGCCAGCCCACTTTCCATCCTCCCTGGAGCTTACGGGCATTTCTGAGAAAGGGCAGTCAGCTTGGAAACAGATTTTTCCTGGCATGTTTGTTGACTTTAAGGAATAGCACCACCAGCTCATTGATTTAAGGCAAGCAAAAGGAAATGTTGGATTTATGTGA